CACATAAGTCTGATGTGAACAAACGAATGCCGATAGCTTCAGCAATGGCTAATGTGTGGAGAAGCAATGATTTAGATGGACGAGATGGTACTCGATAGATAACTTTGAAGGCTGATTCAAACATCCCTTGGTGACCTGAGCCCCCTAGGTAACCGAGAACAGCATTTCTTGTGACACCTTCTCCACCGTGTTGAAGCTAGCGTGGGCAGTGCTCATTCGTTCGCTGGGGCAGTTCGGTCAATGTAATTTGCTTTACGAACATAGCTGAAGGAATAGATAACCTTCAGATGAGGCCAGCGTGGGTAAACTGTCTATAATGGATGTTCTCATTATTGGTGAGCGTGTGAATAAGCAAAATAAACAGGCTGCATTGGAGGTTCCTCAAAGACAGGTTATCTCCATTGAACGGCGGTTTAATAAACAGTTTTTTCTTCGGAGCTTCTTGAGCGAATTCGAATTTCAGTCTTTATTCTAGGTTCTTTTCGATGAATTTTCCAGTATATGCATTTCCCTGAAAATTTGATCATCAAGACCAAGTTCATCTACGAACATGGAATCGAAGCACAACTTTTATGCACGCCAGACTGAATAAGTTTTCCCTTATATCTAGGCGGCACGACACAGTGAAAGTTGGGGTACTATCTGGTCCAGGTTTGTTTTTCTGCAAATGTCAGTAATAAAGGATTTGATTCGTTTTCATAGAAAGGGTTCATCGTGTGAACCAAGTCCGCATCACTCAGATGCAACAGGTAGTCAGGTTGAGAATGTTTCCAACCGAGTTACAACCTCGGAGACTAGTGCCGAGATGACTGAGGTCCGTAGCCCGCAACAAGATCACAAAGATGGGTTGTGCTATATCGTGTAAATGGAAAATGAGAAATGGCCTGATCAGCTGTCCGGTGATCCAGTGGGTAGCATGCTTGCGTTCTACCTTTGAGGTCCCGGGTTCGAACCCGTTGGGTCGATGGATTTACACTGCTGAGATTTAACCAGATCAAAACAGCTATGCAGTGCTTTCCAGCTTTTCAGTTTACGCTTCATCTTCTGTATATCCTTCTTTAAAGCAGTTCATCAACTGCCATGTGCATTGACACGCTAAGGAACACTAATTTTAATTATCTTTCTCTCTTTGCTTTCAGGGTGAAACTTATGAACTTGTGATCTTTTTCTTACATATTCTAGAAAGTAAGCTGATTTAACTTATTGAAACCGTTCCCTGATGTGAGGGGAAAAGAGAGAGAGTAGGGAGTGGGCGGATGGAAAAATGTAGATAAAACGCAGATCATCGGTTTCATGTGACTCAGTGTCCGAGCAACATACAGGCCAATGTAAACACCATAGAACACACATTGGTCAAGACTGTCCTCATATACAATCCATATGGAACAAAAACGAACCGTTCAATCACTGCGATCCGATGAACAAACAGTGTACATTACGTTGGGTGTACGCTGTCTGCATTATCTGATGCGGTGTATCATGAATCGCAAATTACCGATTTGGGATTAAGTTGTGTGTGTGAAACTGAATGTCCAAAAACACCAAAATTCCCTCCTCTCCCAAAACCCGATTTGTCAGACAGTAAGGTAAGGGCAAGTTGTGCTCAAAATGGGAAAGCTGTTCAGTTGGTCAAGCTGTGGTCATGGTCATCGCCAAAACGCACCTACTCGTTCGTTTGCTGAACCTGAGGGAAGAGCCAAAAGCAAACACAGACGAAGGGTTCCGGTTTGCAGTTGTGGGCATGTGCTGCCCTAGTAATCGGACGGGACAAGATGGATTGGATATGAAGCAAATGGTCTGTCTCACCTTACCCGCCTTGTATACCGTCACGTCTTCTCACCCCAACCCCCAGTTTCCACGTTGCAAACAGGGAAACAGGCGAAAGCAAGGTAAAAACAGTGGAGGGTTGAGTGAAGGTAAGATATAGGGTAATAACAGCGACAGAAACAGCCACACCATCCGATTCGGCCCACCCACCCACAGCCCGCAAACAAATCGGACTAATTAGCCTGTCCTTGGAAGTGGAAACTCGAATTCTCTCTCTCTCTCTCTGTGTAGATGTGTGTGCCTCTAGGAGTGCCAGATAATTCCGAGACGGAGTTCAACCTGTCTGCATCACACACACAGAGGTAACCCGTGTGGATATTGAGAGACAAACAAAAAGACAGCCACAAACAATTCCCCCCACCACTACACACTGGCTGTTTCGCCTTCCCTCCCTCACAATGAAAAGTAAAAGATTGACAACCAAGAATTTTCCAAGGAATCTGTCCGGTGCAGAAAATGTAAATTTAAAAAGCTGAGAATCACACTATACGATTATCTTGTTCTGCCTAGGGAGTTTCGACCACGATCAGAATCCACTGAAAGTGATTGTTGATGGAGGAAAAGTACAATTATGATGAGCACGGAGGCAGATGAGGTTGAGCGCGCAGAGCTCGATGAACACTAGTGAAGGACAACTGGGAGAATGGATAGAAACGAGTCAGTTCAGGGGCGGAAAGAGACACCTCAAACATGTCTACTACGACTCTGTTTTCGTCATTGAAATTTTCAATGTTTGATTATCTCGATGGCAGTCACTCTGTATGGTAGGCAGGCAGTCGAGGACAGATAAAATTGGAAACACCTCTCTTTCTCGGTCATCAAAGAGGTAAGGGTACTACGTGTTTTATGTGATAAACGCCAACTGTTCCGTGTTGACCCGATCACAAATCGATTATTGGACCGGACATACTCTGCGGATACGGGCAAACCATTTTAGGGTAGCATTTCTTACTGGTTAACTGCTACACAGCACTCACCGAGTCGAAATTCTTTCTGGGATTGGCTGTGAACATTCACGTTGGTCAGATTTCAAACGGTTGTCTGTGATGAACGACAAATTAGACAGCTGATTACACCTCGATCGGTCACACACACATTAGAAACACACGAGCCAGATCGTATCCCAAGATTCGCCGAGTTGTCCGAAAAGGAGGGAAAACACGCGAACTGGGGGAAATAAGTTTTCAGTTCTTAAATGAAGTATGCATTCGTTTTAGCGGGAGGATGAAATCATGGTTCCAGATCGGGTAGGTGAGGCTGCGAAGGAAGGTGGCCATATCATGGTCTGATTGTAGGGTTGTAACAGGGTCGAGTTAAATTGCCATGGTGTTTGTTTAAAGCGTACTTGTGCACACACACACACACGCACACACTAATGCAAGAATAGGGTAAAAACGATTGACCAAAATGAACAATCTCCTTCATATATGGAAAGAGCGCACTTACCGTTCGATTGGTTTAGTCTGATGTGAAAGTAACTGTGTGAGAGAGCTCCGAAAAGAGGCCAATCATGCAACCAGAATGCGGACAAAGCGGGGAGTAAGAAACAGATAGATTCACCTGCCTTCAGTCTGTCACTGAAGGAAATAAGTGAGTTCCTTCTGACAAAAACGAGCAATCCTATAATCAAGTTATTTATTTCAGCGGTTATTTAGGGTCTCATCAAGGCATATTATTCCCTTTAAAACTGGAAGACAACCCAATGAGAAATGAGGACAGAATGTGCTCCTGAATGCTCTGAGGAGGAGCGCAGGAGGGGGGTGGGCAAGGATGACGTGACCGTATCGACAGGTTCAGTGACAAGGACGCTGCTGTTACCGATTCAGTAATGGTTATGTTCACCACTATAAATTGATGTTTCAGTATGCGCTGAGATGATTCATTCAATGAACGTTAGAAGAAGTATAAACTGGAGCAAGGCAGT